TGTGTGGGTGTGTGTATGTACTGATATAAACACACATAGGGTTGAATGAGTGCCCTACAGCGCCTATATACGTGCATCTTTATCTCCTGCCTGCCTTTTTGTCTTCTCACACAAATCATACAGACACCACACTCGTCTGTCTGAGTGCCAGAGCTCTAAGATGTTGTATTTGCTTTTCAACACAAGAGTACTCATAGAAATGTACATAGTTGGGGTATACCTTCCCTGTCGTCGGAATGCGCTGTATTGCCTGTACCTGTGTAAAACCCTCAACCCTGCCAGCTCTATGTCTACCCCCACAACGCCTGCCGACACCATACGCACAAACAACTTGTATGTAAGAATTCATGTACGTAGACATATGTATAGGGCATACAAATGCATACTAGAATTGTTAGAAATGACCGTACAGTCGAATTTAGATTGCCCATGCCTACCCCCACTACGCCTACCGACACCACACGCGTCTTTGTCTGCCTATGCAGGGTGATAGTACCATCATAGTCAAAGCGGCCACGCGTATAGCCGAGGGCGAGGAATTGACTATTAGTTATATCGATGAGAGCTTGACCCATTCGGAACGACAAGCGGCACTAGTCGACTACGGCTTCGAGTGTGGGTGTGTAATAGTACTATTGTCATTGTATTAGTACTGTTATTTAGTTGCTGTTGCTTATAGGTTGTTACTGTCTATGTGTATGTCCTGTCTGCTATTGAGACAAATCCTTGTTATTTTATTGCGCTGTAGATGTGTGGCTGTAGATAGTTGCTGTTGCTTGTGGGTTGTTACTGTCTATGTGTATGTCCTGTCTGCTCTTGAGACTAATCCCTTGTTACTTTCTTGCGCTGTAGGTGTATGGGGTTATTTCTGTTTATGTGTATGGCTGCTAATAAGACTATTCACTTGCCACTCCGTTGCTCTGTAGGTGTCCGCGATGTCTTCTGCATATTTAGTCGACGCCACTGCAACGAATCTCTCAACGAGATGGCGATGGACCCAACACACAACTGGGTTTAGGGGTTCACTGGGTTTTATGGGTTTAGGGTAGTCCGTATCACGTATCAGATGTGTGGAGTATAGATTCTTGGCATTATGAGGCCTCTAGTGCATACGGTGAATGGTAGATACGTAGTACGCGTCTACCATCCGCATTTTAAAAACCACATTTTAAAGGCGTTACAATGACTGGCGCATCAGGAGGGGAGACTCTAAACTCCTAAAACCTAAAGAAAGACCCCCCTCTAAACCCCAAACCCCTTAACCCCCTTGTGAGATCTAAAAGCCAGGTGTCCTGTACACCTGGTCAAATCTCAAAAGAACTAGGCCTTGCGCATCCTGCGACGTCACTTGGTAACTGATATTCAATTGACAGTCGGCTGCCATGGTCCATATGCATACTCTGGGACATACATAGGTGTCTTCTGCACATCCAGGCAATGCCCGGCCACGCTAGATTATACCCTAGAAACCCTAGAAACTCCCAGAAATCTCAATTAACAGTCGGTTGCCATGGTCCATATGCAAATCTGGGACATACATAGGTGTCTTCTGCACATTCAGGCAATACCCAACCACGGTAGATGCATACACATTGAGTGCGATAGGATTCGCCAAACCATAAACCCCTACTAAGCCCTTAAACCCTAAAAACACTAAACTCTTAAACCCTTGGCGCGTTGTGGGTGATTAAATTGTTCCTATACGCCTGTAGAGTTAGTGCTCAGAACCTGTCCTGCTTTCGGAAACAGGGTGCCTTATAGGTTATATGTGAAGTTTAGGGTTTTAGTGTTTAAAATAGTGAAGAAACAATTTATTTCTTGCGAGGTCGTACTCATAGCCGCAGGAGGACTCAAAGGGGTTCCGTATGAGTTCCTTTGAATAGTTTAAGCAAGTTCCGATAATAGTGAGGCTTTGCGCGTAGTGTGAGGCTGCTGGTGCCTTCAAACACATGTGATTACATATACATACACTCAACTGGACCAGATGTCACGCACAAAGTAGAATATAGATTATTTACACGAAACCAGTCTAGTGTGTATGTACAGTGTAATTTTTATCGATTTTTAGGGTTTAGGGTTTGGAGCATGGCAAATAAATGACTTCTGTATACCTGGTCGACACCTAGAAGGATGGGACCTTAAGAATATAATAAACACAGCGTTTCTGTACGAATCGACAGGGCTGTTGGTTGCTATGGTTACCTCTATACAGTACTTTATACAGTGTCACATAGTGCTGTTTTCTGCACGTGTTATAAACTGTCAGAATAGTGCGCGGGAGATTAGGATTACTGTAGCACGATTGATGTGTTGAACAATATTTAAATATATGTGGAATAATATTCATGTGTTGAAATTGTTATCTTTTATGTGCTACCTGGATATTAATATCGATATCTATATAACAGAACAAATGAATGGTTTGAGATTCATATCACATCTGGTGTATATGGCAACTTAAAGCAGATACAGAGTGCGCAATGCCAGTGAACTAAACAGCATACTTCTTTTTTTGGATCAATTATTGAATCCAGAAGTACTATACACCTACGAGCGTATGATCCAGGCAGACGCGCTCACTTATACATATACATATACATATATATATATACATATACATATATATATCTATATCTATATATAAAA